TTTAAATATAATATTTAATTTTATGAAATAAAAATATTTTATGATTCATATGTCTACACCAAATGATAGTATATTAAGATTATAAATTATATATCTAAAGATGAACTATTTATTTTTATTTTATGCATATTAATAAAAAATAAACATAGTAATTTAAAAAAAAAATTAAGATTAATTAATTGAGTATGCAATTTAAAAAATATTTTTAGCGTTCAATATATATATATATATTTAACATGATTGAATTTTTGGATTAGAATATATATATATTTAAAATAATTTTATTACTAAAAGTCAAAAAGAAAAGATGCCATAAAGATTACAACTTTGAAAAGTTTGTAACCATTAATTTAGGAACCCTCCGATTTTAAATGATTTATAATTTTTGAAACATGATACGTGCATTTAAAACCCATTAATTTAGGAACCATCCAATTTTTTGATAATGAGTTAAAATTAAAATGTAAAATGTAAAAGTTGCTGAAAATAGTATATAATAAATGTGGTTGACTTTTTCTTACTACTATTTATGGTAAATGTTAATTCTTATTATATATATATAGATGTGAAAAAAATCGACTTTAAATTATACACATATATACGCATGACTCTGTATCGATCTGAATGTGGAAAACTTGACGTAAAATTATACACATTCTGAATGTGGAAAAACCCAACGTTAAATTATACACACTAATGTGTCGATCCAAATACGAAAAATCGACTTGTACACTGCACACACACCTCTCGAGTTAAATCAACCGAATAAGCAAGGACGTGATTGGATATAATTTTAACAAAAAGAAAATTCAATTAAAACTTAAATTTAACTCAATTTTAATCCAAGGTTATTATCCTCAATATTATCAATATAATTAAATAATATCAACCAATCATTCTTACATATTACATCAACATTAATTCACTATTCACTCACTCACGTAATTTTAACTAATCATCGCTTCCAAATATTTTTTTCTCATACTTTTACATCAAATCAATTTAATTGTTTTATTTTAAATATTATTTTAATTAAACTTAAACTCCATATCATTTTTTTAAAATTAGTTATGATGAAAAAAATCAATAAAATCTATATTCAATCACACTGTAAAGAATGATTTGCATCCATTGTAACAATCAAACTCGAGAAAATAACTGGTTTTTATAATAAGGTCGGTGTGATATTACCACTAAAATAAATTATTTTTTATTGACTTCTTCAAATTGTTACACGTATTGAGGTTTATCAAAGGTCATTTATCTGACAAACGATATTTTTTTTAAGTTCGTATGTCTCCATTTGGTTGAACGGCCACATGTGTAAGTTCGTATTGTCACTCTTTGTTTGGGAACAGTTTCAACTTTCAACACCTTATCTTAAATAAATAAATAAATAATTGGAAGTCTGGAAATTGTTCATAGAGATACAAATCATCAACATAATAAACATGAGAAAATCAAATAAGTACATTATCCAATTCTAACTGCATCTGCACAAATTTCACATCATTTTTTTTTTTTCCTAAAAACGCTCGTGCCAATCAATAAACAAAATCACTTGCATCAATTTTTACAGCCAAAAAGCAATTCAAGATAAACTTTCCAAAGGTAAATTCCTCCACAGTTCACAAAAGTACTTAAATACAGTTGGTCATTAAGAACACAATCAAATAGATGCATGGACACAATATTAAACACATGTAATTTAGAAAATTTCATCTGAAAATTAGAAAAACTATTCATTCACTGAAGGGGGGATATTAGCATACAGACGCTACATAGCTAAAAAACGAAAACTAAAAACGGAAAAAACTAGAAAACACGACTCTACACTACACGCTTATTCACAACACTATCCCAAAAGCAAACTATCGCTTTTTCCATAACTAGCTCTTCTTCACTTCTTCCCCCTCTTCGTGGCAGCCTTCTTCGCCCCAGGCGACTTGATGGACTTCGGCTTCACAGCCTTCGCCGGAGCCTTCTTCTTGGGGGTCGCTGCCGCGGCCTTCTTACTCGGAGTTGACTTAGTTGAGGTCTTTGCCACCTTGGACGGCTGCTTCTTCTCAGCCTTCTTGCTCTCCGGCGCCTTTCTCTTCGTCACGGCCTTGGCCTTTGCAGCCGGCTTAGCCTTGGGTTTTGCGGCGGCGGTTTTGGCTTTCGGTTTGGGCTTGGAAACAGCTGCCTTCTTCTCCTTCGCGCCGGCAGCTTTAGCATTCGGTTTCAGGGCGGAACTAGAAACGGGCTTCTTCTTCTTCACCGGCGAGGATGGCTTGGCCGGGCGAGCGGCCGGAAGCTTGAAGGAGTTCTTCACCTTCACGAGCTTATCGTTGGCCACGAGCTTCTTCAGCTGGAGGAGCAGGACCTTCCTGAAATTGGCCGGAAGGTTCCTCTGTTTCTCCTCAATGAACTTCGCGATGGCGGGCTGGCTGGAACCCGTTCGGTCCTTCAGCGTCACGATCGCATCCTTAATCATCTGCAAAATCCACTGGAAATTTCAGATCCAACCTCACGAAATCAAAAAATCCAAACAAAAAAAAAGTACAAAATCACGGACTTAATCGCCGATTTGATCAATCAATACCTCGAAGTACGGAGGGTGGGTGGGAGCGGTGCGCTTCTTCTGAGCAGGAAGTTTCTTAGCCTTTGCCTCCGGCGCCGGTGCTTCCTTGGTCGCCGGATCCTCGGCGGCGAGCAGCTCCGCCGCAGGCACGATCGGGACAACTTGCTCTTCAACGGTGGCCATGGAGGAATTCACAGAGAAATTAGGGTTAGAGATTGTTTGTTTTTTCTTTTTAGGAATTTGGGTGAAATGTAACGGAAAACGTGGGTGGATTTAAATAGCTGAGATTGAGTGCTGTTACTGTGAAGACGATTGCTGATTGGTCAAAGGACAAGTGGCACGGATCGAGTAAAAGGATGAGTTTTGAACATTGACCGTTGGATGGGCTTTTAATCAACGGTGGTGGACGTTTTGATGATTGGGGGCATGGATTGAGAGGTGCATGTTACAGAGTTGAATGGTTTCCTTTGGGTGTGTTTTTTTTGGTTTGATTAATTGGGTGATGAGTTGAGCTGCATTTTATGGATTGTGATGAAATAATAGTTCGTCTTGTTGGGGATTTCGTAAGCTTTCTAACGAATGCTTGTTTGCTCAATTATGTGGAATGAATCGAGAGATATTGAGTTTGGAAAGTCGAGTGGTCGGTGTGGAAAATTCTACAAATTGTGTTGTGATTTTCGAGCATTATATGATATGATTGGAACATGATGATACTTTGAATGTTGGATGTGATGATCGGTAAGTTTGCGAGTCTATCTGTTCAAAAATAATTGAAATTGAATATCATTTGGCTATGAAAATATAAATTTGAAATGAATTATAGATGAACACAAGAAAAATGAGTTTGTATACAAGCAAAATAGGTAAAATATGCATTTATTTTCTCGAACAATTATGTATCTAATGAAATCTTCATGCATCAATCTTCTAATGACAATACAACAAATCAAATCAGGAAGTCTAGACGAAGTAGTTGCTACATTACTTTTAAGTATTTATTAGAAGTCCGGACGAATTTTTTTTTTTTAAATATTTTTATAAATTATTATATTATATATTCGAAATAATTATGTTATAAATTGGACGTTACATATTATCGTGTTATGAGTTAGAAATTATTATGTTACATGTTAGATTTGATTATTTTATAAATTGGACGTTAGATATTTTCGTGTTACGAGTTACAAATTATTATGTTACATGTTAGTCTTGGTTATGTTATAAATTGTACGTTAGATATTATCGTGTTAGGAGTTACAAATTATTGTGTTACATGTTAGACTTGATTATGCTATAAATTGGATGTCAGATATTATCGTGTTACGAGTTACAAATTATTATGTTACATGTTAGAATTAATTATCTTATACATTAGAATGAATAGATTATAATTTAACATGTTTTAAAAATATAAATATTGTACTATATAGCAGGAGTCATGGGAAGATTTTGGAGGAGATGATGTTGATTACAGTCTCAGTTTCGATACCAGTACATTATTTAATAGTGATAAGGAGGCTATTGAAGCTGCAAAATATCAGGCAATGCTGAATGGTTTCCTATTAGTAATTTCGAAACACAAAAAGAAAACGGTCAAGCTTTAGAAGTGCCATAGAGGCGAACGCTACAGAGGCAAAGGCAGAAATTCCAGAAAGACAAAAATGAATAAGTGCAATTGTGATTTTGAGATAAAAGTTAAAAAGGTGCCAGACGAGCCATACTGGAGGATCTGTAGATGTAGCAAGCAAGAGAAGGGCTACCATAACCATTCCTTTGTTGTGTATCTTGAGGGTCATCGACAGTTGAGTGGCCTCATCGCTTCATCTAAAAATATTGTTCGTGATATGACGAACGTCACTACAAGAAACTACATGTATCATGACGAAATTCGCGTGACGAAAAAAACATCGTCACCTTTGATTGTCTTATGGTGTTGAATTTGACATTTTGTCACTACATCATTGTATACTGCGACGACTACTACTTGCGTCATAATCGAATTTGTTTTTCGTCACATAATCATAATTTACAAGACAATACATCGAGATTCGTCATATTTATATAAAATATGACGAAATTCCATGTGACAAAATAAATATTGTCGCTGTTTATGGTTTGTAAGATGACGTTTTTTTAATAAAGCGTCATAATATAAGTTTGTATTGTGACGATACATTACAATACATCTAAATTCGTCATAGTAATACATAGTATGACGAAATGCAATGCGACAAAAATAATGTCGTCGTTATTTATGATATTTAAAATGACGCTTACGGGTAATTCGTCATTATATAATTGTGTCTTGTGATGATAAATACAATACATCTAAATTCGTCATAGTAATACATATTATGACGAATTTTACTACAACGAAATACATGTCGTCGTTTTTTTGGTAACTACAATAACACTTTTGAAAATCGTCATTATATAATTTTGTATTGTGACGATACATTACAATACATATAAATTCTTCACACTAATACATCTTGTGACGACATGCAATGCAACAAAATAAATGTCGTTAATTTTGTTTCTATGTAAAATGAAGCTTTCTAAAAATAGTCATTATTGCAATATGCATTGTGACGATACATCAGCATACATCACGTGTCGTCACTTTTTTATCTAACATGACAAATTCCATTCAATAAAATAAGTATCGCCATTTCTTTGTTTTTACATTTATTGATGATTTTGCAAAAAAAGAAATAAAAAAAAAAATGAAACTCGCATATTTCTTCATAAAATCAAGGTTCTGAAAACCGAACTGGTCATCGAAACGGTCAAGCTATTGGTTCAATGGTTCAGTCGTCCTCGACCAATGATTGAACCGGTTGGACCGCTATTTAATTTATTAGCATTTGTAAACATATATAATATTTTATATAATAAAATTTATATAAAAAAAATTGTTATTTAAATTTAAGACAATTTAAAATATTCAAATACTTAAATTAACTAATAATAACTTATATACATCCATTATATTTAGATACATTATTTTTTATTTAACTTAAAAATATTATGAAATAAATAAAGTATATGAAATGATAATGCCCTTACATGTTGTTTGAACCATGCAGGAAATTGTTCTTTATGTTCTTGATTTATGTTTGCACATCCAACCAACATTAGATCCTGCTTGTGCTTCCTGCAATGAACATTCATATTTTTAAATCAAATTGTATAATAATATTCAAATATTTAAACTATAATTTACACTTACTCAAAATAAGGTTGAACCTCTTCACAATTCTGTAAGACAAACCAGTGCAATGTGTTAAATTCTTCTTCTGATAATTCAACAAGTTTTGTCGCTCCGAAGTGGCGACATTTTTCAGAGAAGATTGAAAGACTATCATCAATAATTATATCACAATTTCTATCATCTCGATTAAATCTAGTCTCAATTCCTTTCAAGTACATGGAGCAAAAAGTTAAAGACTCTTTTGCAATGTTAGCTTCTGCAATTGATCCTTCTGGATGAGCTTTATTGGTTACACCCTGCTTCAAGTCGCATAAGAACCTACAAGATAAATCAACATTATTAAAAATATAAACACATACAAGTAATATATAAGAATTTGACAGTTTCGTAGATTTACCTATCAATCGAATACATCCATCTAAATTGAACTGGACCACCTATCAATGCCTCGCGTGGTAAATGGATAGGCAAATGAACCATGACGTCAAAGAATGCAGGAGGGAATATCTTTTCCAGTTTACACAATATCAAGCAAATATCACTTTCCATTTTCTCCAAATCATTTTTTTTCAACTTCCTACTGCATAAACGTTGAAAAAAATGACCTAACTCAGCCAATACATCACAAACTTCTTTATTCAAAGAACCACGAACCCCAACTGGAAGTATTCGTTGTAAAAGAATATGGCAATCATGACTTTTTAATCCGGATATCTTTTGATCGCTCGCACTGACACAACGAGATATATTGGAAGCATACCCATCAGGAAACTTAACTAACTTTAGAAAGTCACAAAACTCACGTCTTTCTTTCTTATTCATGACATAGCGAGCAGCAGGCATTACATGCTTTCCATCACCCATCTTGATTAAGTGCAACTCCTTGTGGATATTCATGTCCTCCAAATCTTGCCTTGCCTTAACTGTATCTTTTGTTTTCCCTTCTATAGTCATCAACGTTCCTAATATGCTCTCACATATATTTTTCTCAATATGCATTACATCTAAATTGTGCCTTAATTTCAACTTACTCCAATAAGGTAAACTAAACAAAATGCTACGTTTAGTCCAATTTAACTCCTCAGGTTGCCGCTTTCTTTTTTTTACAGTTATGCTTCCCTGGTGTTATATTTTGTAGTCCCTGTAACTGCGCTAACACATCTTCCCCAGTTAAATATTTAGGTGCTTCTCTATCTTTTCTTTTTCCATCGAACTTTCTACTTCTCCTCCAAGGATGATCTTTAGGTAAGTAGCATCGATGTCCCATATAACATATCTTACTACGCAACCTCAAAGAATGTGTTTGCTTGTTGCAAGCAGGACATGCCAAAACCTTTCGTGCTCCACCCTGACAGATCCCCGTATGCTGGGAAGTCATTGATTGTCCACAATATAACAGCATGTAAATTGAAAGTTTCTTTCCGAAAAACGTCAAAGGTTTCTGCACCATCAACCCATAATTCTTTCAACTCTTGAATTAATGGTTGTAGGTAGACGTCAATGTCTTTGCCAGGTGACGTTTTTCCAGGGATTAGCAAAGATAACATGAAGAACGACTGTTTCATGCAATCCCAAGGGGGAAGATTCAATGGAGCTAAAATTACTGGCCACATGCTATAAGTGGTACTTAAGTTTCCAAATGGATTAAAACCATCTGCAGCAAGAGCAAGTCTAACATTCCTAGGATCTTTTGCAAACCAAGAAAACTCATTATCGAAGTCTTTCCATGCAAGTGAGTCCGCTGGATGCCTCATATATTCATCATCAGTTCTTTTTTCTTTGTGCCACACCATTTTTTTTTATGTTTTCCTAGACATAAAAAGGCGTTGGAGTCTAGGTTTTAGGGGAAAATACCTTAAAATCTTTTGTGGTATCTTCTTTCCTACACCATCGTTGACTTTCCACCTAGAGGCTCCACAAATAGGACAATTCTCTAGATTTTTATTCTCATTCCAAAATAAGGCACAATCATTTTTACAGGCATGGATGCATTCATATCCTAATCCCAGATGTCTCAAACTTTTTAGCTTCGTAACAAGAACTTGGAAGTGTCTCTCCATCAGGTAGTGATAATTTTATCAACTTTAATAACATATCTATAGCTTTATTACTCAACTTATTATAAACTTTTAAGTGCAGCAATTGGATAATAAAAGATGTCTTGGAGATTTTCTTACATCCAGGGTATAACTCCGCTTTAGCATCTGCTATCAATGCTTCCAGATATTGAGGAACACCACCTGTATTTCTGTTATTATTCTCATGTGTATCTGGATAATACTTGTAACGCCCCACTTTTATTTGTCGAAATTCGGAATAAATTTTTCAAAATTTATTTCAAAACACTTGAAGCGCTACTCTTTTTCAAAAACAATTTCAACAATATCACATATGCAATTCCCAACGAGTTCAATAATCATAAATAATCAACACCCAAACCGGGTTCAATAATCGTCAATAGTCAACACCCAAACCGAGTTCATCAAACCCACAAATACTAGGGAGAACACTCCCTATCGATAATCCATTATTCAACATAAGTCAGGAATGCATAATTCAGAATAAGTAATTTAAGCAGCGGAAATAAGCGATAACATGACCACCACTCGCTTCCCTCTGTCGTGCCCGCAAATACTAACCTGCATCCATGAAGAGCAGGTGGGGATGAGCACAATAGGAAATCGAGGTGCTCACCACTATGCAATAATTAATATTCAATTTCATAAAGTAAAACAGGTATGGTCGCAGTATGAACACGAATCAATTAATATCCCATCTCCTTCCCAGAGTCAACTCTCATGTGCACACCTATACCAATAGACCACTGCTGATACACGTATCGAAAACCCCCGCGGGCCTTACATTCGATGCCCAGACAGTAGGAGTAAATCCACCCCGAATGCCTGGAAACATTCCTTCGGACTTACATCGAGGATCACCAGCCAAGGCTCACGCCCTGACTGCCATACATAAATAAAGGAGACACCCATCGGGTACGTTCTATAGCTACGGGGATAACCGTTCGACGGCCAATATAGCTCACATCGAAGGCTACATGGTTCACATGCATACTTTGATCATACCACAACAATAACAATTAATTAATGCATAGAAACTTTTCAAATAAAACCCACCTGGTAATTCGGTAGAAAGGCACACAAACAAATCGGTAGGGCGAGGGCTCGACTCCTCACATACCTACATTTTTATTATTAAGTCTTATTACTATGGTTTGACTGAAAATGCGAAATTAACAAAAAAAAAACATGTAAAGCACATACCATAGATAAGAGCGCATAATTCAGTCAAATATGAGCAGATAAGTTCACATAAAAATTTCACTTCTCTAGTTGACCCTCTAGTCTCGACTCGATTTTCCCAAATCAAAAGTTTATAAGGCTTGGAAGTAGGCATAATCAGCACGTCAATTACATAAAAGAGAATAATAATAATAATAATAATAATAATAATAATAATAATAATAATAATAATAATAAGCTCATCAAATGACAAAATGAGGTCGCAAGATTACAACAAAATACTCCATCTACAGCATGCTAAACACTTCATATTATAAAGCCTTGTAAATTGAAATGAATGCTTTGAAAATAATGCACATAAGTCAGCATGCCAAATCCGTAGCAAATAAGCGAATCACGGCTCCAAAATAACACATGAATCAACTCAATTTATATTCCAACTTAGTCAATCCAAGCATGCTTTCTAACACTGAAATTTAGACACCAATTCAGTATGAATAATACACATTCCAGCACTACAATGTTGCATGTTATCGCCTCAACAAATCTCAAACAACCCAAGTGAAATACAACAAGACCATGCTCTTTTCTTGCTTTGAATTAACTGGACTCTAGCATGCTTTTAATGATTCTTAATGAATGATCCTTAAACTCACTTCAACAGATACATAGTACCACGCCACATGGCTACAAAAAAAAAAAATGCCCAAATCAATTCAAGACAGATACCACCAATTCACACAAATATTCCCAATTAATGTCACAGATCCAACACCTCACAGAAGTCCAAAATATCCAAATTCACAAAACAGATCTAAAAATTCCACGAAGTCACAAGAGGGGCTTCGAGATTTTTACCACGCTACTCGAATCCACACGAATTGTGGAGTTGGAAACGGATTTTTTTTTTTTTTTAAACCTCAGCCCAACTCGAGAGCTCTCGATGCTCGTACCCTCAGTTGCAGCTCTCGGCTGAGGCGACACGGACCCTCAGTTGGTCTGGTTCCACTGTAGCTTCTTCGCCTTTGCCGGGAATGACTCGACCTCGCTGGAATTCGCGGCTCGTGGCAGCTGACGGACACGAACAAGGGCTCGCCTCGGCTCGTGGGTCTGGTTTCGCCCACAGTGGATTGTGGGCTCGCGAGTTGCTGGTCGCCGGAAAAACGAGCAGAGGAAGATGACGACGGGTTGCTGCTCGCTGATTCCTTTCGCTGGAAAAAGGCCGCACGATGAGGACGCACGAACGACGGCAGTCGAGGTGCTGGTTGCTGAAAATTTTTCCAGCTTCAGGTGGCGGAACTCCTCCCCGGTGGGATGTGGCTCGCTGAACGATGTGGGGTTCCTCGCTGCTGGTGGTTCGTCTTCGCCGCTGGTGGTTTTTGACCCGCCGTGGACTCCACTCCAATCGTCGAACGACTGGTGCTAACCTCGTCGTCGGAAGAAGGGTCGCTGGCCGGTGCGAGCGGAGGTCGCGGATCGCTGCTCGAGGTCGGACGACACGGTTGCTGTGAAGCTGAGGTCACGATCGGAGCTCTGAACGTCAGTCGGTGGGCTCGCGGGCAAAATGGCGACAAAATTTCAGGCGGCGATTCGCGAAACAGAGCAGAGGGGGATCGCGAAATTGAAATCGTGATTTGATGTGAACTCTCTCTCTCGGCCGAGATTTAAGAGACGAACGGGCGAGAAGAATTGCACAGAAATATCGCAACGAATTCCGAATCTGGGACCTGGTCGTGCAATTGGGAGAAGGAGATAAAGCTGCTCGATCTTTGCTCAATTTGGGTTGCCAATTAATATCCTTTGGGCCAAGCTTAAAATTCAAAGAGAAAATTACTTGGGAGACGAGTCCATATCCTATTAATTGTAAATTAACGAAACCTCATATTTTATTTGCATACATACAATGATTAGCAAATTGACAATCAGTTTAGCCTACATTTAAGGAAGACTTATTTTTTTAATATTGGTAAGTTTGAATTTTTTACGGTAAATGAACAGATTTTTCAGGATAAGATTTTTATCAGTAGCCAAATCAATCTTTTTGTTCCATTTCTAATACATTTCAATTAGAAATGTATCTGTATCTCTATTTCAATGTTAACCTTACAAAATGATGAATTAAACACCATCATAGTTAGGATAAAAAACCCTAATCGCCATTTTATTGTTCGTCCCTAACACAAGAAGAAAAAAATATACACTCATAATCTGTGCACATATACATAAAAGATGCATAAAATATACACTCGAGTTTCTCGTAATTCAAGTCATCGACAAATCGGGACATACATATACATAAAAGATACATAAAATATACACTCAAGTTCTCGTAATACAAGCCAACGACGAATCGGGACATACATATACACAAAAGATACATAAAATATACACTCGAGTTTCTCGTAATTCTGGTCAGCGACAGATCGAGACATACATATACATAAAAGATACATAAAATATACACTCTATTTCTCGTAATTCTGGCCAGCGACAGATCGAGATATACATATACATAAAGGATACATAAAATATAGTCTCGAGTTTCTCGTAATTCAAGCTTGAGTTTTCGAAATCTCCGCCATCAAACGCCCGTTGGAGGACCTGGAGAGGGTGCCGGCGAGGCCGGTGCCGAGGGAGAGGGCGGAGATGCAGTCAAGGGTGGGGGGTGCAGGTGACGCCGGCAAAAGAGGTGAAAGGGTCAGCGGCGGCGAAGGTGAAGTTCCAGTTGAAAAAGAAGCAGGCAACGGAAGGGATCTTGGTGAGAGAGTAACATGAATTACATACATAACATTTATGTATATACACTTCCGAATTAAATGCCATCAGTTATGGAATGTCAAAACAACAACATACCTTTTTTATTTCATCATTTAATTATCTAGTATTTATCTAATTACATAAGGTTAATACCGTATATGTGCAAATAAGTTTGCAAATGTGTAAATTTGCAATTACTTAGCAACATATACAGTAGAGATGTAAATTGCCCTAATTCAAATGGGCCGAGAGGTTTTAACTAAAAAAAATGGAGTGGTCTAACATTGAATAACCATATGGGCCAAAGAGCGCGGGTTTTGAATGCGGGTAGCCAGGCCGGTTCACACGAGGCTCGAGAAAATAAATCGTCTCTCGGGCTCGTTTTAAATGCACGATAACAAATAAAAACTGGGAATAAATAAATTGCACATATATATTTTTAAAATAATAATAATAGTAACAATAAAGATAAGAATACACATTTCGGAAATTTTATTACAACTAGACAAATAGTAATATTTAGATGTTCATTAATAATAACAATAATAATAAAAAATATAATAATGATAATCAGGTAATAACAATAATAATCACAACATTCGCAATTAATACTACTAATAATAATCCCAAAAATCCATAAATAAACGGGCTAGAACCGTCTCACGCGATTAAACCGAAATCGCCGAACGATGAACATTTTTCAATAAAACGATCGAGTATTCCAACCTTATATTTATGTCGACACCGCGACTAATAAGATAAATATAATCTTATAAATAATATTCGATAAATAGAATATTCCGAGAAATTCTATAAATCGAACGGAGCGCTACAATACTGCTCCCCCAGGTCAGACAACATGAAATCGACACCATCATCTTCATATTCTTCATCATTTTGTTCCAATGACCCGCAATGAAGTTTATCATCCACATTAACTTGCACTCGCTGAGTTGAGCTCGGTTCACCATGATAAAACCACATAGTGTACCCTTTATCTATCCCGCGCATCAAAATGTGATTTTTAACAGTCATTTGTCTTTTATAGATAAGTTCAAACAATCTGTACATGGACACCGAATTTCACAATCCCTCCCAAAATGAGCTTCCACAAATTCCATAAACGTGTTTACCCCGTCTATATAAGCGTCCGACCACTTGATAGCACGCATCCAACTCTTGTCCATTCTGTGTTCATAATTTAAAACGTAAAAAATATCAAATGCCCATTTATCGTTGCATCAACAGAATTGATACCGATACCAAATGATAGACAGAATTAAAGAAAAATAACACCATAATCAGACACGCAATTATGTTAAATCCGACAATTATGAAGAAAAAACTATTCATGATAAGACTAAATTAATCTAACAATTATGAAGAACAAACAATTCATGATAAGACAATTATGAAGAACAAACAATCCAACACATAATTATGTTCTTCATAATCTCCATCAACAGAAATTGTATGTCAACTTAAATTATTGATGAGACTTAATTAACTCAATTAATCCTCAATTAATTCATAATCTGGATAAATGATACAAACTGATAGAGCATGAAACGGGGGAAAAAGATGAAAGGGAAAAAAGCTATAAAACATGTATAGATATACACAGGTCGATATAGAACATGTATAGATATACACAGGTAGATAAAACATGTATAGATATAGCCACAATCAAGAATTAAAGATGGTATAGATACGCAGGTACAAAATCGATATACACAGTTTGAAGAAACTTACAATTTGAGATATGTCTTGCGATAAGAAACGAAGGGTAAAGTATTCGGGGATGGGTCGGGGAGGCTGAGGAGCGGTGGAGAGGTCGATGACTCAGAAGCAGCGGATAGGCCGAGGAGGCGAGGAGCAGCAGAGAGGCTAAAGAGCCGACGGCGGAGATGCTGAAGAGCCGACGGCGGAGAGGCTGAAGTGCCGACGGCAGAGAGGCTGAAGACACGGCGGCGAAGAGCAGGGAATTGGGATTTTGGGGATTGGGATCTTTGTTTGGAGCTTGAGAAGAGGCGAAGATGCCGATGACTGACGAACGGGAGAGAGGATGAAGAGCCGACAGCGGAGAGGGTGAAGACACGACGGCTGAGAGTCGGGAATGGGGATTTTGGAGATTGAGGTCTTTGTTTGGAAGTAGTAGGTTATTTTTTTTATCTCAATACCATATAAAGTACTCAATAATTTCTTATATATAATATAAATATTTATCAAATACAGCCTTCTTCGCGAAAGCTCGTTAAGTTCGCGAACATGCTTGTGTTCCTCCGATAACCAAACGAGCATAATTGTATGTTTGAGCTCGGATCGATTACTTAACGAACGAACTGTTATCGAACTCGGACGAGCTTTTGTTCGCAAACGTTCGATTTGACAACCCTACATGTTTACTTATTATATTTAACATTTTATTTTAATTTTATGTATTTTTCATAAATGTTAAATCACATTTGTCAATATTTTACAATCGTGTATTTAACACCACTATACTAAAAGTCGGGTTAAGTCCGGGTACCCTGATTCTTATACAGACTGCCCTTCTAGACCTCGAGCAATTAGGTGGCATCTAAGTGGCTAGGTGGTCCAGGCGGTTGCGAAGTTAGTCACACCTAGACTGATTAGGCAGTTTAGGAGACCTAGGCGGCCCAGGCGCCGCCTAGGCCGTATAATTTTATATATATATTTCATTTATTTTTTAAATGTAATAAAAACAAATTTTACGTTTTATACAATACTAATTATAAAATAAATTAAATAATAGTTATGTAAAACTAATATAATGATTATAATTATATAATATTTTTTTTAAATCATTGTATTTTAACCAATATAGTTCGAGCCAAGATAGGCCTGTAAACAAGTCGAGCAGAGCTCGAGCTTAAACTGCTCGAACTCGAGCCCTTAACGAGCTCAGAATCGAGCTCGAGCTTGGCTCGTTTATCTCTAATAACGAGCCGAGTTTGAGCCTTAACGAGTCGATCTCAAGCTTTAATAAGTTGAACTATATAAAATTATATCTTTCGAGTCTTATCCAGCTGAGCCGAGATTGTCTCGTTAACCAAACTAGTTTTAAACGAACTCGAGTTTGACTTGTTTATCAATAATTATTTAAAGGTTTTTTAAAATATTATATTCATAATTGTTCTATTGTTTTATATAGTTACTATTTTAATTATATAACTCGTGTATATTTCATGAATAGATACAAAAAATGTCAAAAAATAAAATAAAAATAAAGTCTTATAAAAGTAGGTATAATTAAAAATTATAAGTTTTAAAGTATATTTACTAAAAAATTGGGACGGTTCTGTTCAGAGATTTTTATTTTTCGATTCGGTTCGTTATTCGAAACTATCACAACGGTTCGATTGGTTTGTTTCGGTTCGGATCTCCAGAGTTTTTTTAGTTATTTTTTAATTTTTTCGAATGACTACCTAGTTTTAATTTTATATGCCTTTTCGGAACGATTATTTTTTGGTTCGGAGTGATTTTGGTTTGGTTCGGAGCCGTTCGGAATTTTTCGAGTCCCATGCTCAGCCCTCTTATATAGATAGTGATGTGCTATAGAAAAAATTAGGGGTGACATTTTTTTTACCAAAAAACTGAAAACATAACTGAATCGACGCTTAAAAATAACGAATCGAATCGAACTGACGCTTAAAAATATCAAACAGAATTGAACCAATTTTATGGTAATTGAATATCGATAACAATAATGTTTCGGTTACGGTTTAAGATTTTTTATAGCTTCGTATAACCGAACTGGACCGAAATTTAGTTGGACTTGGTAAATTTTTAAATTTCATGAAAGCCCAGCCCATATTCATTATATCCCCATAGCTCAAACATCATATTCATTACATCCCCAAAGCCCAAACCCCAACTGTTGGAACTTCATCATCAACGGAGCATTGAGGGCGTGACGGGTTCGAACAGCCACTACACGGAGTTGTCGCTGGCGGTCTTCTTCACCATAGTGGCGTCGATGTTCGTCACCTACAAGGCGGTCTGCTGCATGTTCGTAGCAGCAAGTGACCCTTCGGCTGTCAAGAGGGCCAAGGACTTCGTGGACCGCGAGCCGGTTCAGATGGGCGACATTGCCGAGGAAGACCTGAGGGCTTATGATAGGTCGGACCTGGTAAATCCGCTGCTCATGGCCATCAAAGGGACAGATCTATGATGTCTCTCGCTCCAGGTAAACTGAATGTGCTCCACCATTGTTTTGTGCTTGTTACTCATTGGGGATAAATGATTAATAGCTCAGAGGCTTATTAATTTTTCAGATTATATGGTTTCTTATGTGTGTTTCCTTGTGCTGATTACTGTTAGAAATTGAAATGGACAGAGTTTGTGTTTTTTCCCTTTTAATCAGTAATTTCTATTTCTATATGAAACCGAATCCAACCCTATGAAAAAAAGTGTAAATTTCTTGTATTGTTGATTTTACTAAATTTGTTTGAAATTCTGAAGTCATTTTAGCTAAAAATTTTGCGGCAAGTAATTTTGTTTTGGCGCTCAACACTTTAGTTTTATTTTGGTATACTCTTATCTAATTAAGGTAGATATACAATGAATTCATTGTTACCGTATCTTCTCCTAGTTTATCTCTTCTTCCTCTCACTCATATAAGTCAAATATTAGGTTAACAATAATCAAAAGATATCACTTGTTTTCTTGGTTTCTTCTCTGTTTCACATTTCTTCTCTGTTTCACCAATCTGCTTGGAGGAAGAAATAACAAGTAATGTGTTCTTTTTTTATGTTTTCAATTGAATATATTAAAGTAATTTTTACCAAAAGGATTTTCAGATTTGTTGTTAACTTTTTTTGTTTATGCTTGTTTTTTTGTAAAAAATTTGGATATGGAACTTCTATTACATGAGTTTCATTTCAAGTTATTTTATTCATGACTGGTTCTTCAGGCTTGTCATCTAAGTTTTTTTTGTTTTATGCCTGTGGTTTTCTAACTTTAATTTGGATATGGAATAACTATTACGTGAGTTTTATTTCATGTTATTTTAGTTGTTCCTGGTTAATGGGTTTTAAAAGGTTTTATCAGTCATCTTTCGGTTCACAGCGCAGGTTCGCATGAGACTTGGTGGTTTTTTACTGTGATTTAACCAAAATTTCCATATACACATTGTTGATTGATGCTCTCAGGTGTACCTATTAGGTCTCTGTTGGTGTAGCTGTGTTTAAAAGTATTCTATGTGCTTAAAAAATGTATCGTCCTTGTCAATTTACTGATAGTACTGAAACATTTGGGTTGAAGTAAGTAATTTACATTGTTCAAAGTTGATCCTTCTGGCAATGAAATATCAGTTGAATTATAATTAAATTTTCTGTAGGGATCCTTTTGATTTTTTGTAAGTTGTTTCATGCATATAGTAGAAAGAATTGTTTCTAAGTAAATATTTTTCAATTGAATTCTGGTTCCATTCGAATAGTACATGGAAGTTGCTGAAGTTAATGTTCTTCAATTGATTTATGGTTCCAAATTTATATTAGGTTACATGCTGTAGACATGTTCTTCGTTGGTAATATATTGTTATATAACATCCTTTAGGTATATTGGTGGTTGATGTGAAACTATGTGCATTTGTGCTTGTGTTCAGGAAGGCTCGTAAACATTTAAAATTCAGTGCGTATGTATAATTAACTGGTGTATTTATATATTTAGTTGACTGAAGTGCTCAGGATTATCTATCATATGATTTTCCTTTTGCTGAAGTGGTTTATGAAATTTAATGACAGATGCTGGATTAGTTATGATATTTATTCATTCAGATGCTTTTTTTTTT